TGTTCCCTGTGTCTTCCTTGGCTTTGTCCCAGACGCGCCTGGTTGGCAGTTTTACCACCCCACCTCGCGCCGTGTCTTCCCCTCTCAGGACGTCACGTTCGACGAGTCGGTTCCCTTTTCCCGTCTCTTCCCCTACCGCACTGCCCCTCTCCCCCCCCCGCCACTCTTCCTCGCTCCAGGTGCTCCCCAGGTAGACCCCCTCCCCACTCCCGGTCCTGCTCCTTCAGGTGTGTCTCAGGTAGACCCTCCTCTCTTGCCTGCGCCAGTTGAGGTCACTGGTGACTCAGGTCCTGCTGATGGTGGTCCTGCTCGGGGTGCTGCTACTGGGGGTGCTGAGCCTGGGAGTGCGGAGCCTGGAGGTGCGGAGCTTGGGGGTGCGGAGACTTGGGGTACTGAGTCTAGGCGTGAGGAGTCTGGGGGTGCTGAGCCTGGGGGTACTGAGTCTGGGGGTGCTGCACCTGGGAGCGCTGAGGCGTCTGGTGAGCAGTCTCCTTGGGGCAGCCGTCTCCGTAGTCGCTCCGCTGGTACCTCGCCGCTGCACTCTCGTCGTCGACTCCCTCTCTCCCCACAGCAGCTGCGTGAGTGGTACGTTGGCCGTCAGGGTCGCGCTGCTGGAGCTAGGGGCCCTGCTGCGAGAGGCGCTGGGTCGGTGACTCTGCTACTGGAGTTGTTTCTGCTGGAGGTTCTGGAGCTGCTGAGGGTGCTGGAGCTGGAGGTTCTGGAGCTGCTGCGGGTGCTGGTGCTAGAGGTTCTGGAGCTGGAGGTTCTTGAGCTGCTGAGGGTACTGGCGCTGGAGGTCCTGGAGCTGCTGCGGGTGCTGGCGCTGAGGGTTCTGAGTCTGCTGTTGCGCGGTCTCCTTGGAGTAGCCGCCTTCGTCCGTGTGTACCTCTCACCTCTCAACAGCTGCACGACTGGTACGGTCGCCGTCAGGGTCGCGCTTCTGGAGCTCGGCGCTCTGCCGTTGGAGGTACTTATGCTGCCGTCACTGGAGCTGGGAGTGGTGCTGGTCCCGGAGGTGCTCGTACTGGAGGTACTGGAGCTGCTGGGGCTGGAGGTGCTGAGCCTGACGGTGCTACTGCTGGAGACCCTGGGTCTGGGGGTGCTGCTGCTGGTGACACTGAGGCTGGGGACCCTGGGACTGGAGGTGCTGGTTCTGAGGGTGCTGCTACTGGTGGAGCTGGTCCTGGAGGAACTGGCGCTGAGGGGTCTGGTGCTGCTGGAGGTGCTGGAACTGCTGGGGGTGCTGGAGCTGCTGGTGCTGGTGGCACTGCACAGCCGCGTCTGTTCTTTGCTCCGCCGTCTCCGTCGTCTCAGCCACCGTCTGACTATGTACTTCGCCAGGTTCTTAGTCTCCCTTCGTCTACTGGTCTTCCGTTACAGCCTGGCTCACCGCTGCCTGCTCCTTCTCCTTACACTGAGCAGTCAAGGGGTCTTACTGAGCGTCGTGAGCCTGCGTCGCGTCCTGTCTCGCCTGTCCGTTCTGGTCGTTTCGGTCGTCGTGTTCCTCGTTGGCGTCAGCCGGTTGTCCCCGGCACCCACCTCGTAGTTCGTCGTCCTTCCTCTCCTCCGCAGCGTGTTCCCCTGCCGTCCCCTCCTGTGTCTTCTCTGCCTACCGTTCCTGAGCCTGAGTCTGACCGCGTTCGTGCTGCTAGCCCTACTGTCACACGTCTGCTAGCCACAGTTGTCACTGACCCGTCGTTTGAGTCTGCAGCTGCGTCTGCCTTAGTCGCTGAGCTTGTTGACTTTGCTGCTGCCTATCGTCTAGACTACGCCGCTAGTCTTGTTGCTGAGTCTGAGTCTGTCTGTCCTCCGTCCGTCGGGGGTGAGTGTGCTCTTGGCACGGACGTCCTTGAGGACAGGCAGGAGGACCTTGAGTGTCTTGCAGCCGCTGCGCCTCATCTCGTGTCCATGCTGCTTGCCCCTGAGGGAGACCCGGATGCTCCAGACATCCCGACCGCGCGCTCTTACGCTGAGGCGATCGCGGGTGAGTACTCCTCTCAGTGGCAGACAGCCATGGACGCAGAAATGGCATCCTGGAAGTCCACAGGCACCTACGTCGACGAGGTTCCCCCTCCTGGGGCGAACATCGTCAGTGGCATGTGGATTTTCAGGGTGAAGCGGCCGCCAGGTTCTCCGCCTGTCTTCAAGGCTCGTTACGTTGCTCGAGGTTTCAGTCAGCGAGAGGGAGTTGACTTCTTCCAGGCCTTCTCCCCCACCCCGAAGATGACCACTCTTCGGGTGCTGCTGCACGTTGCCGCTCAGCGTGACTACGAGCTTCACTCTCTTGACTTCAGCACAGCTTTCTTACAGGGCAGCCTGCACGAGGAGATCTGGCTGCGCCGCCCTCCTGGCTTCACTGGGTCGTTCCCTCCTGGTACCCAGTGGAGCCTCCGGCGGCCGGTCTACGGTCTCCACCAGGCGCCACGTGAGTGGCACGACACACTGAGGACGACACTTGCGGCTCTTGGGTTCGCGCCTTGTACTGCTGACCCGTCGCTGTTTCTGCGCACCGACACTTCGCTGCCGCCGTTCTACATCCTCGTGTACGTCGACGACTTGGTCTTTGCCACTGCTGACACTGAGGCTCTCGCCCACGTGAAGTCGGAGCTGCAGAAGAGACACACGTGCACAGACCTGGGTGAACCGCGCAGCTACCTTGGCTTGCAGATCACCCGGGACAGAGCACGCCGCACCATCACACTGACTCAGTCACACATGGTGCAGCAGGTCCTTCAGCGCTTCGGCTTCACCTGGTCCTCGCCACAGCACACTCCTCTGGCTACAGGTCACTCGCTCTCAGCTCCACCTTCGGACGAGTCCGTAGAGCCGAGTGGTCCTTACCCATAGCTAGTGGGCTGCCTCATGTACCTGATGACCTGCACTCGTCCTGACCTTGAGTACCCTCTTGGCCTTCTCGCTCGCTACGTGGCTCCTGGTAGGCACCGACCGGAGCACATGGCTGCTGCTAAGAGGGTACTGCGCTACTTGTGCAGTACATCGGGCATGGGGCTCGTGCTTGGAGGGCGGAGCCCAGTTGTCCTCACTGGGCACTCGGACGCTTCTTGGGTTGACGACCTGGCTACACAGCGGTCGTCACAGGGTTACACCTTCAGCCTTGGCTCTGGCTCTGTTTCTTGGCGGTCTACACGCTCGTCTTCTGTTCTCGGCTCCAGTTGTGAGGCTGAGATCTACGCCACAGCCATGGCTGCACAGGAGCTACGCTGGCTCACCTACCTGCTGACCGACCTGGGAGAGCGGCCTCGTTCTCCTCCAGTGCTGTACGTAGACAACAAGGCCGCCATTGCCTTGTGTCAGGAGCACAGACTGGAGCACAGAACGAAGCACATCGCTCTGCGTTACTTCCTCGCTCGAGAGTTGCAGCAGCGAGGTCAGCTTCGTCTTGCTCACGTGGCCACTCGGGCCAACACTGCTGATATATTCACCAAGGCACTTCCGTCTGGTGATCATCAGCGTTTCTGTACTTTGTTAGGCCTGGTGCCTACGTTTCCTCACTTGCTGTAGACCTTGTTTGTACTGTGATCTATATATATACGTGCTTGCTTGCTTTGCTAGGTAGAGATCACTGTGATGCTGTTGTTGCATATATACCTCTGCATGTGAACTGGCCTTGTGGCCCTTTGCTTGTGCTCAGTGTGTGTGGTGACGTTGTGATCCACCCTGAGCTTCCTTTGCTTCTCTTGACTGGTCTTGTGACCCCTTGCTCTCCCCCACTTTGCCTATGGGGGTGTGTCAAACTATGATAATGCTTGTGCTATGTAGGCTGTAGTGGGGTAGCCCATAAGGGGTACAACCCAAATTAGGGTTAGCATATGTACCCACATCTCTGTTCAATGCACTCATTCCTGCTGCTAGATTCTAACACCCTTAGCCGTCCGCGTATTCTTCCTTTTGTCGATATGGAGCCGAGCCCCGACGCCGACTTCGGATGACTTTCCTCTTTGTCACCGAATGGGTCGCGGTCTCAGCTTCACTCTCGAGTGGGACGATTTCGCCGTCCTTCGCGACCACAAGAGAGAGTTCAACGAGCGCTGCTTGGGATTCGGCATCAGGTGGGACTCGAGTAGTCGCGTTGGGTAGATGTCGGCGCCGACTAACACTAGATTGGCGCATAGGGTAGATGCCGGCGCCGTTGGGGGTCGCATTGTCGCCGGTTGTCCTATGACTTACGTCGGCGTACGCGGTATTTGGCATAGACCTCGTCCAGGAACTTGACCAGCGTAGCAAGCGTCGACCACGTACAGTCGGCGTTTGACGTAAGGTAGACGTCGACATGGTAGCGTTTGCTCACCCACCCTTTATGCCCAATCGGGCGTTCAGGTACGCTTGGTTTCGCATTGGGCTAGACGACCAGCGGTTGTGGGTAATCGGAGTCGGCCCGCTTCGAGCGGCCATGAAGGCCGCCGACCATTCTTGCTTTGCTACGGTTTTCGACGCCGACATCGCCGCTATCCCGTTGAGAACGACGTGAGCTGTCTCCCCCTTGTCCAGTTATCGTTTTGTTTTGTCACATCATCGCCTAATGTTGTGATCAACGCCGTCGTGAGTTGCATGTGCAGCGGTGGTCCGCTTCCAGGATCACACTGCAGCGTCATAGCCATCCTCTACCCAGGAGATCTGTTGAAGGCTAAGGGACAAGTGTGCAGGATCTCAATCCGGCACATCGACCCGCAGACCGGTAAACTGTATCACCGCGACGAGGCCGTCCGCATGCTGAAGTGAGTTGTGAATTGTCGTCGATGTCCCGCTTGTTAGTCGCTGAGGGTATCACACGCTGACCGCCTCCCTCTACCACGGTGCTTCAGGTTATTGCGCACGGCTGCCTAGCCGAGCTGGGGCGTCCCGATAGGAAGTGGGACGGGGCGCCGCCATCACAAGCAGTGGTGGATGACAGGCTCGTCGACTGCGACCACCCTATCCGCGATGTGAGTTGCACGTTTAAGCATTAAGGGGGGTGCACGTTTCTGTATGCCCCGCTCCTAATGTTCCGCGCGTGCCGGTGTTATATGCAGAAAGTGCCGGACACAGTGTCGGACGGGCATGTCGGTACTGGCATGCTTGCCGCGACGTCGTTTGGGTGGGTGGCGAAACGGATGGACCTGCTGACGGGCGAGAAGGGCTCTAGTGGGGTGAGCATCGAGAACATCAAGACAAAGGGGCTGAGGACGTTGCGCGACAACATGGTGGAGTACATCTGCAAGCGCATCGCCGAAAAACGATCTGCGGCGCCGACTTCTCAAGCCGTCGGACCCGCCAACAGTGCGATTGATGACGACGGCGCGGAAAGACAGACGGCGCCCCAAGCAGCAGTTGCCGCCCAGCATCAGGGGGACGCGAGGGTATCTACTAAAGGAGGAAACGGTGGTGGAGGAGGCGACGCAGCGGCATGAGCAGGAAGGAAGGAAGAGGAGTCGGAGTCGTCGGAGTCGGATTCGGAGTCAGAGTCGGAGTCGGAGTCGGAGGAGGAGGACGAGGCGGTGAAGGAGAAGGACGAGAAGGAGGACGAGGAGGTGGAGGAGAAGGACGCGAAGGATGAGGAGGAGGAGGACGGGAAGGATGAGGAGGAGGGGGTGGAGGAAGAGGTGGAGTACGAGGTGGAGTACGTAGATGGTACGGTTGAGGTGGGAGCGGCGGAAAGGGCGGTGGGGTCGGCGGATGAAAAGAACAAGGAAGAGGAGGATGACGATGCGGGTAATGCTACGAGGTCGGCAGAGGTGGGGAAGGAGAAGGAGGAGGTCGGCGTGGAGGCAACGACGGAAAAGGGCCAAGAGGAGGCGGCCTGCGAGGGAAGTGGGAAGGTGTCGGTCGACGCCGACGAAGGGGCGAACATCACGGGCGTGCAGGAGACGGGGGAAGCATCGGGTCGGCAGGGTCCTGAAGACGACGTCGAGCAGTTGCGACGGGAGAACTGGTTGTTGAAGGCGGAGAATGCTCGGCTGGAGACGTTGCTCAGAGAGGAGAAGGCTCGGTTGGACAGGTTTTTTGTTGGGATACGTGGACTCATCGACAAGCTGCAAGTTTTGGCCGACCAGGTCGCCGTGTCCGACCGGACTGCAGCGAAACGGCTGCGGGACGCGACGTCGGCCATGTCGACGACCATCACGGGCAACATCACCAGCAGCTTTGACAAAGCGTGGAAGGCGATGAAGTCCTTCGCGGAAAAGGCGCCGGCGTGGTTGTTGGACTTCGACAATCCGGAGGGAAATATGGCATATGAACGGGCAAAAGCCGTCTCCGCCTTGGCCGACCACGTGGATGGGGTGGTGGGCGAAGCGAAGAGGGGTTTGGAGGAATACATCTCCCAACACCTATCTGCCGCGCAGGTCAACATCGCCACCACTGTGACTCACAGCTTCGCCGTGCAGCCGCCGCCTCCGCCTCAGCCCACACCGCCCGCGCCAACGCCCGCCTTCCCGGACGAGCTCTTGAAGTCGTTCAAGGCGGACGTCTTGAAGGCGGTGACGGAGGCCACCCAGCAGTCGTTCGTTGCTTCCAGGATGAAGATCATGATCGAGATGATCGGCACTGTGGCGCCTGGTCGGCGTGGGTCGTCGCCGTCGGCCAATGACGCCGAAGCCGCGCAACGGAGGGAGGCCGACAAGCAGGGCCAGAAGAGGGCGGGCGGCGGAGACGATGCGGTCAGCGTGAAGCGGAGCAAGGGAGCGGACGGGAGCCGCGGTCCTGTCGGCTCAAAGCCTGCTGCTAAGAGCGTGGTCGACCAGCTGAAGAAGAAGGCGGGGTGGAAGGTCATAAGGTCGTCGCACAGCAAAGGAGATGGAAGCGGGGGGGCAGAGGGTGGCCATGCCGACGAGGTTGCCGCTAAAGTCGCGGGACCGAAAGGCCTGCCTTTGGTCGCCGAGCAGACCCATCCTCAATCGAGCGGTGGGAAAAGCGAGAGCGACAAGGAGATCCCAACTGCTCGGACGGCGAAAGATGGCGGCGCCAGAACCGTCAAGGGACCGTCCGTCGTGGTGGTGGGGTCCACGTCGATTCCCCGTAACCCCCCTGCGGCTAGCAGCGCGCCGGCCGACCAGTCAGCTTTCAACAACGATGGGCCGGCCCTTAAGGCCCCTCCAGCTCCAGCAGGCCCGTCTGCCGCCATGGGCGAGGCGAAGGATGCTGCGGCTAGGGGAGATGGTCCGTGCACCAATAAGCTGCCCGCACGTGGGGACGCGCTCAGGGACTTGCTCCACCGCATGGAGGCCCATCGCAGGGACGTGTAGCAGCCTCCCGTGGTCGACGCCGCCCCTGCCAAAACAGCACGTCGCTCCGTCACTCCGCAGGTCGCCGGCACAACGTCCGGTGCCCCACCTGCCGCGCCTCTGGTCGCCGCCCGACCGCCTGCGGACCCAAAGTCCGCAGTTCTTCGCGCCCAGTTAGGCGCACGTACAGCGGCAGTGCCACCAATGACCCAGCCGGAACCCGGCAAAAGCGCGACGCCGACGTCAGTAAACGCGGCCGCACCGACACCCGGTGCAGCTGTGGTCGATGTGGCGGCGGAGAAGGGTGTGCGTGCAGCGCTAGCCACCGGCGGCCGAGCCGCCAAAGACGCCGACATCGCTGCCATCCAGGCCCATTTTGAAGCACCAAAACGCATTGAGCACGCCCCTGCTCTGGCCATCATGGACACTGCGCATGTGGAGCCGTCGGCGACTCACGGAGGGAGTTCGGCGGAGCCGACGACTGCAACGGATGCTGTCGCCGAGAGAAATGCGGGACGGAAGGGGAAAGATGACACTGGGAAAGGGAAGGCGTTCGCTCAGAGGAGAACGCAGGCGATGTCGGCGGGGAAGGAGATGTCGGACGAGAAAGGAAAGAAGGCGGAAGGGAATCAGGACAAGACGGGCGGCAAGGGTAAGTCGGCAAAGAAGAAGGAGAAGGCGGAGGAGGAGGACGAGGCGGTCGGCGAGGGAAAGAAGGAGCATGGACGAAGGGGTCATGGCATCCGCCACGACAAGTCGGGCGACGGGCTAGGTTGGGTGGGCGAGATAAAGGTAAACGGCGAGAATCGATACATAGGCAAGTCGAGAGACAAGATGGAGCTGGCCTATGAGCACTCGATTGCGTACGTCGTCTACGATGGCTACGTGAGCAAGGTGCTCATGGACGAGCTCACCGTCTTGAATCCAGGGGAGTTGGAGAAATGGAAGGAGGTGTGGGAGGAGGTCAAGTTCTTGCCGACTGGGATGTGGACGGTGATGTGGGCCAGAGGCTTGTGCCATCCAAAAGCAAGGTAAGACGGATACCGATCTGCCGAGTGCTGTCGACTAAGTCGGTGTCATAATGCTAATGTTGACGAAGTCAGTGTCGTTTTAATGTATTTGCGCGGCAGGATCGACGATATACTCGGCAGGTACCGTGGGTACACGAGTTCGGGTGATGCGCTTCACGACGTGCTCTTGCCGGCGATCTGGTTCCCCATCGTTCAAGACACGAAGGAAGGCCAGGCGGAGACGGACGATGTCATGTCGGCAATGATAAATCGCGTGTCAATGTGCGCGGCGTTTGGGAAGGTCGCAGCGAGCGCGGCGAGGAAGGCGGGAGAGTCGGATGAGAAGACGGAGATGGCGGCCCAGGCGTTAGCGGCCTCCGCTTGCGCCGTCTGGTGCTTCGTGGAGGCGGGGGCGTCGGTGCTCGGTGCTGTGGGCGAAGGGAAGGCGGCGGCGATGGTGGCAGGTGTGGGTGAGAAGACGGCTAAGGCCTTCAGGAAGGTGATGCACGCGGTGATCGACATAGCGTCCAATAGGCAGCCACCCGCAGGGGAGGTTGCACAGAACATCGCACCGGCGCTGCAAGGTCATGCAGTAGACAGGGCCTTCAAGGAAGGAGTTGTGGGAGTCGAGGCCGACATGATCGCTAGAGCGACGGTCGAGACCTTGGCGTTCTGGGGAATGTGCCCCGTCGCCGGGCCCAACCTCAAAAAGCACGGCATCGATGTGCCGTGTGACGCGCAGATGGACTACGATATAGAGCACAGGGGGAGGAAGGGGGAGAAGGTCAAGCAGGGCAAGGGCAACAAGAGGAAGAAGAGGCAGACGGGCAAGCAGGGCATGGACAGTACGGAGGCGTAGTCGGCGGGCGGAGGTGTTCTGGTTGCTAGGGTGTATGACATGGGCAGCGCTGATAGCGTAGTATTTCTGTTGGATCCTATGTTGGTTGCGCATTTAACTCTTTGTTTGTGTTTGCTTGAATGCTGTTGAAAGGATGAAACAAGCTAACTAGAAGCCTTGTCGGCGAGGGCAGGGACAGTACGGAGGCGTAGTCGGCGAGCAGAGGAAGCGCTAGGTGTTGTTCTTGCTATGGTGTATAACATGTTGGTATGGCCGGCGCCGATTTCGTAGTAATTTAGATGAAACTTTTTTTTTTTCAGTTTGATTTACTTGTAGTTTGCTTTTGGGATGATATATATCACTGTCCTCACAGAAACATGCTACTCGGTGATGAACGATGAGCCTTGTCGGCGTATATGTCGGAGTCCTTCAACATGTCGACGTCGACTTGTGTCTGAAGACATTGAGTGTTTGTCTGTCTGCAAGGATAGTAGTTTTGTTTCTTACTGGGCAACTGACAACATTCATCATTGCGGGGTCATGTGGGTTCGCAAGGGCCCTGTTGTGGGTTGTTTACAACCGGAACAGTAATTGCAGTATGGGGGGTTAAAGTCGGCCACAATTAATAGCATCAAACTATGCAAACGCATATCCTACAAGGGTCTTCATGCCGACTTCTTGCGCTTGGTCGGAGGACGGTGCACCAGTGCGGTCGGCTTGGCCGGTGTTGTCGACTTGGCCGGTGCGGTCGGCTTCGCCAGGTCGGCCTTGGTCTTCGACATCTGCTCCTCCCATGTGTCTGGAAACAGGGCAGCGACCCAAGCACTCGGGTTCAGGTTGAGCGCCACAAGCGCACAGGCGAGGCGTAGCTTCGAGACCGTCTTGGGGGCAAGCCCCTTGACTCCCATTCCAGGCTCTTTGGACAACGTCGGTGCCGTTCCCGGTTTGAGTACCGTGAGGGCATCGCAGAAGGTCCCAATGCCCGGTGTCGCGATCTTGTTCAGTGCATCGACCACGGCTTCGGTGTCGGCATCGCCGTCGCTCGCGCGTAGCTGGCGCACCGCATCCATGACCTTCAGCATGCGGCGCACCCTCATGTTGAGTGCACCCTGCGTCGCGCCTTTGAGGAGGGTGTGGCGGTCGACGAGTCCCGGCTCAGCGACCCTATCGCAAAGATGACGGGTGTCATTTGCGGTGGCGGAGTTCCATAGGTGCCAAGCGCGCACGGTCTTTGCCTACCGCCAAGGTTGCACCACGTTGAGCTCGTAACTAGCCTCCTCGTCCGTCTGTGGGGGTGGCGGGGGTTTCTCGTCCCCTCTCTTGGCTCCGGCTCCCGTGTTGGCCAAATCCGCGGAGCCACCCTCGCTCGGAGCTTGCGCGGTCGTCGACGGCGGATGTTAGAAACAAGAAGTGATCAAGTAGAAACATTTGGGAGTACAAGTATGAAACCCTAGAGAAATGTACCCCCTAAAGGCTAACCCACTGTAGCCTACAAAACAGAAACATATACAATGTTTGACACACCCCCATAGGCTAAGTGGGGGAGAACAAGAGGTCACAAGACCAGTCAAGAAAGACAAAGCAAGCTCAGGGTGGATCACAACGTCACCACACACTCTGAGCACAAGCAAGAGGCCACAAGGCCAGTTCACATGCAGGTATATATATATAGATCACAGTACAGGCAGAGTCTACAACAAGTGAGGAAAAGTGGGCACAAGCCCTAGCAAAGTGCAGAAACGCTGATGATCACCAGACTGAAGCGTGTTAAAATAGTAGGAAGAAGAGGGGTTGCACTAGCAAGAATGAGGATACAAATAGCAAACCCTAGAAGGGTTGTACTCGCTATAGAGCACCCCACTACAGGCTAGAGCATAATATTCTGACACACCCCCATAGCCAAAGTGGGGTGTAATCAGCAGAGCAAGTAAAGCAGTACAAGCTCAGGGTGGATCACAATGTCACCACACATTCTGAGCACAAGTTCAAGAAGCAATAGTTTAAAGTTCACAATTATGAGCAAAGCTAGTGGTAGTCACAGAGGGCAAGTGAGGAGGAGGAGAGACTGTGGGGGAGAGAAGATGGGAGGCGACTGCTGACGCTGCAGACACACAGACGAGCTGCTGGCTCAGTGGCTACCGAAGCAAAGGCCCGGACTACAGGAGTAACTGGCTCCGCGGCTAAAAGTAGCGGCAGACGAGCAACTGACCCACAGGCGACTGGCGACTACCGGAGATTGTAGCCTCCGGACTGCTGGTGCTGCTGACGACAAGACTGCTGCCTCCACTTAACCTCCCCCAGCTGCCCAACACCCCTCTCACACACCCGCTGCTACACCGCTAGCTCCACTCCCCCTTCACCCCCCCTTAGTACCACTCCAACAGCTCCAACAAGTCCACCCCCCCTCAGCGGCAGCTGCAGCACAGGGAGACGGAGGAGGAGGAGGAGCAGGGAACGGCACACAGTGGCTTCACCCCCATACCCCTCACCCCCAAACCCTAATTCAGGAGAACGGGCTGTAGGAGGGGTGGGGCGCCAGTAGAAGCACGGGGGACAGCGGGGAGGGCAGGGGCAGCGAGGAAAGGGCCGCCCACGGGCCTGGCACAGCCGCCCGAACCGCGCACAGGCGGCCCGAGCCGCGCGCGGGCCTGGCGCAGCCCGTACGGGCCGCGCGCGGGCCTGGCGCAGCCCGTACGGGCCGCGCGCGGGCCTGGCGCAGCCCGTACGGGCCGCGCGCTGGCCTGGCGCAGCCCGTACGGGCCGCGTCCGGGCCTGGCGCAGCCCTTACGGGCCGCGCGCAGCCTGTACGGGCCGCGCGCAGCCTGTACGGGCCGCGCGCAGGCCACGACGGGCGACGGGGGGCGACGCGCGGGTCCCCGTCGCCCGTCGCAGCGCCTCCCGAGGGCGACGCGCCGAGTGACGGGGCAGAAGCCCGCCGCGCGCCTCGGGGCGCACAGCGGGCAGAGAACCGCCGCGCGCCACGGGGCGCACGGCGGGCAGAAAACCGCCGCGCGCCTCGGGGCGCACGGCGGGAAGAAAAACTGCCGCACGCCACGGGGCGTGCGGCACAGAGGGTAGCAGTGGAAGTTGCAGCGGAAGCAACGAGGTGGTAAGACCACCCACAGGATCGATCCAAGGGGATCGACCTGCTCTGATACCATGTTAAAATAGTAGGAAGAAGAGGGGTTGCACTAGCAAGAATGAGGATACAAATAGCAAACCCTAGAAGGGTTGTACTCGCTATAGAGCACCCCACTACAGGCTAGAGCATAATATTCTGACAAAGCGCCTTGGTGAATATATCAGCAGTGTTGGCCTGAGTGGCCACGTAACGCAGACGAAGCTGACCACGCTGCTGCAACTCTCGAGCCAGGAATTAACGTAGAGCGATGTGCTTCGTTCTGTGCTCCAGTCTGTGCTCCTCACACAAGGCAATGGCAGCCTTGTTGTCGACGTACAGCACTGGAGGAGAACGAGGCCGCTCTCCCAGGTCGGTCAGCAGGTAGGTGAGCCAGCGTAACTCCTGTGCAGCCATGGTTGTGGCGTAGATCTCAGCCTCACAACTGGAGCTGAGAACTGAAGACGAACGCGTAGAACGCCACGAAACTGAGCCAGAGCCAAGGCTGAAGGTGTAACCCTGTGACGACCGCCGAGTAGCCTGGTCGTCAACCCAAGAAGCGTCTGAGTGCCCGGTGAGAACAACTGAGCTCCTCCCTCCAAGCACGAGCCCCATGCCCGATGTACTGCACAAGTAGCGCAATACCCTCTTTGCAGCATCCCAGTGCACCTTTCGGTGCCTACCAGGAGCCACGTAGCGGGCCAGAAGGCCAAGAGGGTACGCTAGGTCAGGACGAGTGCAAGTCATCAGGTACATAAGGCAGCCAACTAGCTCTGGGTAAGGACCACTCGGCTCTACGGACTCATCCAAAGGCAGAGCTGAGAGCGAGTGACCTGTAGCCAGAGGACTGGCCTGTGCTGAGGACCAAGTGAAGCCGAAGCGCTGAAGGACCTGCTGCACCATGTGTGACTGAGTCAGTGTGATGGTGCGGCGTGCTCTGTCCCGGGTGATCTACAAGCCAAGGTAGCTGCGCGGTTCACCCAGGTCTGTGCACGTGTGTCTCTTCTGCAGCTCCGACTTCACGTGGGCGAGAGCCTCAGTGTCAGCAGTGGCAAAGACCAAGTCGTCGACGTACACGAGGATGTAGAACGGCGGCAGCGACGTGTCGGTGCGCAGAAACAGCGACGGGTCAGCAGTAGAAGGCGCGAACCCAAGAGCCGCAAGAGTAGTCCTCAGTGTGTCGTGCCACTCACGTGGCGCCTGGCGGAGACCATAGACCGGCCGCCGGAGGCTCCACTGGGTACCAGGAGGAAACGACCCAGTGAAGCCAGGAGGGCGGCGCAGCCAGATCTCCTCGTGCAGGCTACCCTGCAAGAAAGCTGTGCTGAAGTCAAGAGAGTGAAGCTCGTAGTCACGCTGAGCGGCAACGTGCAGTAGCACCCGAAGAGTGGTCATCTTCGGGGTGGGGGAGAAGGTCTGAAAGAAGTCTACTCCCTCTCGCTGACTGAAGCCTCGAGCAACGTAACGAGACTTGAAGACAGGCAGAGAACCTGGCGGCCGCTTCACCCTGAAAATCCACATGCCACTGACGATGTTCGCCCCAGGAGGGGGAACCTCGTCGACGTAAGTGCCAGTGGACTTCCAGGATGCCATCTCTGCGTCCATGGCTGACTGCCACTGAGAGGAGTACTCACCCGCGATCGCCTCAGCGTAAGAGCGCGGGGTCGGGATGTCTGGAGCATCCGGGTCTCCCTCAGGGGCAAGCAGCATGGACACGAGATGAGGCGCAGCGGCTGCAAGACACTCAAGGTCCTCCTATCTGTCCTCAAGGACGTCCGTGCCTAGAGCACACTCACCCCCGACGGACGGAGGACAGACAGACTCAGACTCAGCAACAAGACTCGCGGCGTAGTCTAGACGACAGCGAGCAGCAAAGTCGACAAGCTCAGCAACTAGGGCAGAC